GATTTCAAATCAAAATAAAAGAGGTCGTAAGCACCAAATCGAATCTCCTGTATTCGTATCTGGCGGATAAACCACTGAATCTGTAAAGTCGCGAAAAGTAGATATGAACATAGGTCCTGTAGCTGGTATGATGAAAGAAGCAACTTACTTCTCGTTCGATTGTAGGATCCATGTCCGGGTAGCGTGTTATTCCTGTCTGCAAGGCGTCAGAAATCCTAGAACTCTGCAATAAGTCGACAGAAGGATGGCTCACCCAAACTGAACTTCACCAAGCCTTGGGCTCAATCCACCCAAACTCACCTCAGAGCTCATCTGTTGTCCAATGGCGCAGATGAACACCAGTTTGCCGACGAGCATGATGCCCCAGCCCAGTAACCAGGCTCCATCCGACTCGCGAAGGGGAATGTCCCCGTAGTCGTAGTCCCCCAGCTTGCCGGCGAGCACTAATGTGACCAGCACGCCGCAGTACAGGAACACCACTCCCCGGATCAACGAGATGGTGACGGTGATCACGTTGAACCCGCCGTACAGCCAGTTGGTGGCGTGCACGACATCTTGCACGCACTGGTAGCGCACCCGGAGCGCGCGCAGGCCGAGTGCCAGCACGCGTGCGTCGCCCTCCTCGTCGCCGAGCTCGTCTCGTGCACGGACTCTATCGGTGACCGCGATGACGCTCCCGGTGACCCTCCCAGTGACCCGGCGGTGTGCGGGCCCTACCTGCATGCGCGCACCAAGCCGCAGGAGTGCGTCGATGTGCTCCTGCACCCCGTCTGCGATGGCCGCCACGAAGTCCACGTTGGCGGATACGATGTGCACAAACGTATCCTGGATCGTGCTGGCGAGCATGGACGGCATCATGGCATAGACGATCAAGCGCACACCAGGCCAGCTCGTCAAATACATATCCTTTAGGACAGAAACAGAGCGTCAAAGGGTTAGACCGTGTGTAGTATGGTAACGGCTGGTCAATAGACCCTTTCGAAATTAGCGAAGTGAAGAACAAGGTGAAGAACAACAGGCAGGAAACAGTTGCCTTTACTAACCCAAATGTTTTTGAAGACTCATCAAAATAATTGTATATATTGTATAATATGATGATCATTTTATTCAAGTGTTTTGGGTACGATCGAAAGCTACTGTTTCCGGTCTATTGTTCTTCACCTTTTTCTTCACTTCGCTAATTCTGAAAGGGTCAATTGGGCACGCGTACTAGGTGCTTGATGCAGTAGACCATGTAGAATGTGAAGTTCGCTCCGAGGCAAAGTAGAACAGCTGTAGACCATGTAGAATGTGAAGTTCGCTCCGAGGCAAAGTAGAACAGCTTGGCGCGACCCGCGCTTGTGCTTCGGTCCCGAGAAGGAGCGTAAGTAGAGGAGTGTAGCTCGCACGAGCAGGCTCAGGTCGCGGGAATGGCGCACCACGACCACCTGCAGCAAGGCGATAGCAGGTTGGACTTGGACGAGGAGGGAGGAGCAAGGCTATGACCCCCGCCGGGCTCCCGCGCTCGCTAACCTGGACCAGCAGGAATGAAATGGCCCTCCCAATGATGTCGCACGTAAAGAGGTAGAAGATGAACGAAATGTCGTCCGGTGTCCCAGTATTCTTCGATACGTTGACAGCGGCCTATGTGGTTTCGACATTTAACATCAATCGGTTGCAAGTTTTTAAAAGTTTGCTTATATCACCAGGGGGAAAGAGGAAAAGATGGAGTGGGGGGTCGGCTATAGTCTCTCTAGTGAAAGATACGAAAGATACGCCATTTTCTCCGCAAACCCGTTAATGAATTCGCCTCGAAAGTACGTTCATTTTTTTCCCCCAGATCTATTCCACAAATGGCGGGAGCTCGGCGCCTGCGAGACTCGCGGTAGGCCACCCCGCAGTACCCGCGTGTACTGCAAGCGAGATGTTGCCTACGTATCAGGCGTCATGAGAGCAGGTGGTGTAGGCTCAACCAGCTGAACCTTGACAAATCGGAACGGCGAATGACGGACCCACTCTCCGGATGTCGACAACGCTCCCCCCCCCCCTCCCCCCTCTTTATCAGCTGCACCTTGATGCCTTCGGTTTTGAAACCCCATATGTTTAACCGACCTGAATTACAGCCAAAAGCATAATTGCTCTGGCAGTGCTGAGTGCTACCAGAGACACTAAGGCGTAGCACATCCATGCGCGCGACCAGCGCGGCGGCCAGCCGCTGCAGCCGAGGAGCCCGTTGAGCTGCAGCACCACCACCAGGAAGTGCCAGTGCGCCACCAGGGCGCGCCGGGAGAGGGCGACCGACCACGACACCGCCGCCTCCCCCGGGCGCTGCCACGAGTGCGCCATGGCGAATACTGCTGGCGACCGTCGACATACTGACAAACATTCTGACACTTCGCCCGCTGGGCAAGGCTGAGCGAAGACGTCGGTCGATTTGTCTATGAAGCAACGCCAAGTAAATGACGTCGGTAGCGATCGAATGCGGATTGAGGACTTAATGCTCAGCTGGGAACGGAGATTG